GGGGACCTTATAAATGCTTATAAATATCTGAAGGGTGGGTGTCAGGAGGATGGGGCCAAGCTCTTTTCAGTGGTGCCCAGCGACAGGACAAGGGGCAATGGGCACAAAATGAAGCAGAGGAAGGTCTGTCTGAACATGAGGAAGAACTTCTTCCCTCTGAGGGTGACGGAGCCCTGGAACAGGCTGCCCAGGGAGATTGTGGAGTCTCCTTCTCTGGAGAGACTCAAGACCCACCTGGACGCGGTCCTGTGCAGCGTGCTGTAGGTGACCCTGCTTTGGCAGGAGGGTTGGACTGGGTGACCCAGTCCCTTCCAACCCCGACCACGCTGTGATTCTGTAATTCTGTGTGTATTTTAGTTAAACGTAACAGAGGCTCAGGGATCTGGTTTTGGTTGCTGACAGATTGAGGAAGTGTGGTGGAAATAGGGTGCTTTCACCAAAAAAGCAGGTTGAAATTGCAGAACATAAGCTGTTCATATTTTTAAGAGGAGGTCCAGCCTTTTGCTGTGGGTATGACAGTCAGACTTGAAGATCAGAAAGTTTTGAAAGACTCTATGCTCACCCTGGAAATGTACTCCTTTTGTTCCTGTATTTGTGGCCATACTCGAAGATACAAATGGCTGATGTTTCTGACTCCTCCTCCTCCTATTCCTTCTCTTCCTCCTTGCCCACACCCATGAGCTGAAGCAGCTAATGTGTTGCCCATCACGCTTTAGCCAGGTTAATGCCGCATGTGTGTTCAGCTGCCACGGCTCACATGGCACGTGGTGGTGAGGGGCCTGTGGCTGGCACTGCTCTGAGCAGAACGAGCTGCTGCCTGAGCCGCAGTAGCAGTCCGTGCATGCTCTTTCTACTCTGCCCAGCTGTCCAGTAAATAGTGTTGGTTCACGCGCCCTCTATGGTTATGAGAAATTAAGTTACTTTAAATGATGTGGAAGTACTTAAAGACTTCATGTTAAAGGGGAAGGGACTAGATATGAAGGCTGCTGAGTAATCATTCTGCTAACAGTAGGTACAAAATCAGCCTGGAAGCAGTTTACTCCTACTGTTAATTTACAATTTGAGCCTCAAAATGCCGTTCCAGGAAAGGAAAGGAGAACTCTCCCTGAAGTGACTCATCCACCCTCCCGTGGGAGCTGTCTCTGGGCACATCGCCCTGCGACCACCTAAGCTTTGTTTCGGGGGCCTATGAGCACTTGGTCACAGCAGAGACCTGTGTCTCTTTGTAGTGCGCTTTGGTTGAATATGAGAGATGATTTCCTCGTTTTTAGAGTTATTTCATTTATTTTCAGGATGATTTTGCCCTGTGCATTTACTTTGCTGCAAATGGCAAATCGCCAGCTGGGGGAGGAATGAAATCTTCTTGAGAAGCTGAAGCTTCTGATTTGAAATCTAGTCTCACTGGGAACAGTGGATAACCTTTTTTTTTTTTTTTTGAGCCTCCTTGTTTTCAGTATCTGTTGACTCTCCATTCATCTTGACTTCTGTAAAAGAAAATCTCTGGGAGAAGTTGTTGAGGTTTGGAAACTGGCAGCAGAGTCTGTGACTGACTTGCTGGTGGAACTGCTGACAGGAGAGAGTTTATTCATTAGAAAGCAAAGGGAATGGTTCCCAGGTACTGTAACACCTCAGAAAGGTGTACCTTCTTGACATACGTGTATTAGATTGCCTCCCGTGTGTTATGAAAATATTTGTCCATAATGCGTTCAGTAGTTCCTGAGGGTGATCTGCCAATGACCAGGTAATTACTGGAAAGTGTTATCTTGTGTACCTAGTCAAGAGACTGGTAATACAATGAAAGAAAACTTCTCTGTGGTGGAATTATATTTAATGATTGTTTGGACTCACTAGGTAAAACTTGTCAATTGCTTGTTGTTAATAGTCATCTGATCTATTTTCCTGTAAATATCTACAGGTGCAGAGGAATGAATTCTCAAACTATTCCTCTGAGATTTTTTATTTCCTCAGCACTTTCTAACTGTGCGCTGGTGCCCCAGCAGTTTCAAAATCTCAAACTGAATAGTCCGCTATTTGAATCTCTCTTAAAATTTATTAATATTGATACAGAGTATCAATGGAAATGGCTGTTGGCAGACTGCTGTAATCCTTATGCAGATCTGTCTCATTTACAACTGTATGAGCGAGGAATCCACGAGTAGTTTGCCATATAACCTGCTGTAGGTTATTTTGATAGTTTTACAAGTCAATGTTCTCAAGCACCTAAGGTGCTGTACAGTATAGGACTCATAATTATTCTAGCAAGATAAAGAATGCTTTGCACATCCCTTTCCACAAATGAATTCATTTGTGCTGATTACTCCTTTGTGCTTTCATGGCAAAAGTTGATCCCATTCTGTCATCTTCTTGTTAGAGGCACTGGATTGCCTGTTACCATTTTTGTAGTGTGTACATTAGTTGTGCAATTCTGTAACAGGAGTAGAGCAGCTGTAGTGCTTATACTTGTAGAAGCTTGAAATCACTGAAAATCAGTTATGGTAAGATATGTACTTGAGAAGACATGTCTTTCAAGCGTTAACAAAGTCCTGAAAACAGAAGTCTACACTTGCTCGATAACATCTAACTCTGCATGCACTCGTGATCAATAAGCCTGCAAGTCCCGCAGACCTTTTGCAGCACCCGTGTTTTTGTGGCAGCAGTAGCCCCTACGCGTCCCTATCACAAGCACGCATTTAAACCAACATGCGTCGCCAGCAGTGAGTTTCACCATGTTATTTACGTGTAACTTAGGCATGTGGTTTTTATCACTGTGTATTTCCATTAGAAGGAAATGGTTTAGAAGTATGCTGTGGTAAAAGGCAGGACGACTGTGGTCTAACTGTCCTCATCTTATCACCCGTTCTCATCGCAGCCCACCTCCTCTGAACCAGTTGTGACTGGTTCAGTTTACAGGGTTTTTCCACTAAATAACCAAACCTTCCTGCAACCAAATGCCCCAGCACCCAGAAGCCTTAAAAATCCACTTGTCCTCTTATTTGGGCTAAATAAATAGAAATTAAAAACTTAGTATAAACAGTATATGTCTGTATAAATAGACTTCAGGGACATGTGAGCAGTTGCAGATGTAAAGCCTGCAACTGTGTACTTGCAAAATCCCAGAAACTGTGAGGTGATAGCTATGTTCAGCATGGTTTAGGGTTGCATGTAGGCAGTTTTTTGTGCAAAAAGCTTAAAAAGCTGTGTTTTCTCTCTGTTCTCCTGCACTACATGGACAGCATCTTTCAGTTTTCATGTATGAGATGCGACAAGTGGATTTGGGGATCATTTTAGTGAAAGAGATCTTGGTTCATTAATGCAATCAAGCATTTCTCTAGCAGGGATAAAGGTAAGGGGGATAGGGACAGTAATATCAATGATGCTACTAAAATCTATGGCAACTGCATTCAAAAAATACCTTTGTAGCTATTTTATTTCATTTTGATTGGAACCGAGCCTTAACAAATAATAGCATGGGATATCAGCTGTTTCTCAAAAGTAATTTGATGAAAGACTAGACATCACGTCTTTCTTTGTATTGAAGAGTAACGTGATACTGAGGTCAGCAGTTAGTTGCACTGGCTTCAATATGCAGATTGTAAAATAGCTTGTAAGACATGCTGTTAGTAAAATGGCTATGGTTGTTATAGCGAAACCTGGCTTATGTTCTCCTTCCCTTGCTATGGCGTGAGCCCTAGAAGACAGGCCTGTTGTGACAGCAGTGCGTTTCCCCCTGGCTTGGCTTAGCTCATCAGCAGAAAAGATGTAACAAGCTGGCTTTTATTGTTCTGTGTAAAAGTGTTCCTGTTTAATACATTGAAAAGCAGAAAACTGATGGTTTTAAGGATCCTTGGTTTTCTGAGGAGTGTACACGAGCAGAGAAATGAATCGGGTTTTCTAGCCATCTTGGTACATGCCGTGGAAATGCCGGAGAAGAAACAGAGGCCTCACAAACGCACCTGGAGGAAAGCCTTTATTGCCATCTACGTCCTTACAGATACAGTGAGCGTAAATGCTGCAGGCACTTATCTCCAAACTTATGGCAGGATTTTGCCCCAAGCTAAGCAAATGCTTTGCCCCAATATGTCTACTTTGGATTTTTCTGCAGAAATTTTAAAGGAACTGATTTATGGAACTTGGAGATGGAGAGTTCAAAGTCCAACATCTGCAAATTTTTCCTCTGTTGTGAAAAAATTTTCTCTATCGAAGCTTCAGATTTAAGATTTTGCTCAACTTAAAAAGGTATCTCTAAACAAGATGATGTTCATGATCATTACAATTGTTTTCTTTCTTTAAAAGTACACTGTGCAGATTTTCCATCTGTGTCACAGTGCTGGTGAGAGGCCTAGTGGATTTTTTCCATTCCTGGACGTGTGTGCCATAGAATTGCTTTTATGCTCATCTAACTTCTTCATTCAAATAAGTTACATCCACTTTTTAAAATGGTGTTTGACTGACTTAAAACACATATCACTTTAGAATATTTAAGTTCTGATTTGATGGATACATGAGGATTTCAATAAATCATTGAAAGTAAAAATGAACAAATACTTGTTAATTTACAGCACAGCAGTGCTCCTAATTAAGCCTTCAGTGTAAAGACAAAATGCATCCATGCCTTATCTGTCAGAAGCGCCGTTACACTTCTAAACTTCGTGTGTAACTACTTTTAACACGAGTACCATCCCCATTTTCCAATATGGACTTTGGACTGAAATCCAAAGTGTGTACCCTTTGAAATCCAAAGATGTTGAATTGAAATCCAAAGTATGCAACCTTACTCCTATTGCCCACCTCAGTTCAATACTGAGAAAAACAAAGAAAATCAGACTGATATAAAAACATTAGCAGTAAAGCAAAACAAGCCCTATCCCCTAATGCCAGAAAATCATTTGGGGATTTTTTGTTGTTGTTACATCTAACACTGGGAGCAGGGGAGTCTATACCGGTAAGTATATAGCAAAGCATATTGAAGGCAGTTTTGTAAGCCTTTCCTAAACCAGCGTTTATGCTTTCTTGCCTTGGTGCTTGGTTGGAGCCCACATTCTGTAGATGAAGAAGAGTACGATGAGATAGTACATGGAGCTCTTCAGAAGAAGGACGATGTACACTAAATATGCTGTCCTGTGCACTAAGTGATCTGTAACAAACAGAAGACAGAAAAGTCTTTTTAATGTCAATATTGTACAACCTCCTAAAAGATGGGTAGAACTGGGAGCATGTCATTTGCTGCAATTACATTGATTCCAGTGGACAGCATATAAACAAATATACATATATATATATATATATATAACAGTCCTCTGAGTGGGTTCACACTGCTGTTAAGTTCTAGGCCAAGCACTTTCTTAGCACTTGACTACCTCTCAGTGCTGCTGGGTTATTATTCTCTGCAAAGGCAAAACACAGTTCTAGTGCTTCCAGCAGTGATTACCAGTAGCACTGTGTTTGCCTGAATCCTTTCGTGTTGAATTTTTTGAACAGAAGTGCTCTCAACTTTGCCTAAATTCGCATTCAAGCTAAAAGAAAGTTTCTTTGCTTGAAGTGCTGGGCAATTGCTAGACGGATGGAGCATCAGCTGAAGTGTTAAACGTTTACCTACTTCAGGTATTTAAAAAAGTGGCACCTAATGCGGGCTAAGTAGTACCTCAAACAGCATCTGCAGCATCCTAGTAAAGCTCCTAATAAAGCTGCCTAATAAAGGTTGGAGAGGCCCTTCTTACAATGCTCAAGAGAAGTTAATTCAGAGTAGCGCGGAAGCATTTTGAAGTTGCAGACCCCAGACTTAAAAGACTTCCTGTACACTATTTAGAAAGATCATTTCAAGAGGTTCTGAGCATATGCAACAGTATCTAGCTCTTGTGTGACATGCATCGCTTTCCCACATTTGAATACATTTTAATTACCTCTATTAAAACCAGTGCTGTTTCCAGGAGAAGTCGTACAGTCCTCTCCCTGCAGAGTAGTTTTTGTAGAATCTAATGGAAAGAGAGTTTAAATGCCTCAATTAGGCTTTTCTTTAATTTTAACAAACATATATCGAGAAATACGGAAAAAAAAGGCAGTACAGTAACAGTGCAATGGGAAGTTAGTATTAAACAACAACAACAAAGATGTTCAAGATCTGTTTGCAGAGAAGATGTTGACGGGCAGGATTCATTTGCAGAGAGAATCTGAAAGGGAAAAATGCTCATAGAGAAGTGACTGGGTATTTGGTGCCGTAAGTCGGAGGTTTGCCTTTGCCCTTGCAGGAATGTGTCCGTTAGGGTGTTCCTTGGCAGCATCTCTTTTATTTGGAACTGAAGTCAATTCGACCACCTGATCTGGTCGGTGACGTAGCTGGAGTCTGCCTGCCTTCACAACATACTGTTATTATAAATACAGAATAATTTGCATGGGAAGGACCTTAATTAGTTTGTTATTTAATGGTTGTTCAACGCTAAAGAATAATCTTGAGGAGAGTATGATCTAAGGTTCACCTATTGGGAATCTGCTGTTTTGGTGGTGGTTTATTCTCTAACATAAACCCTTCTTTGTGCTTGAAGCAGCAAATTTGTCTTTATTCTTGGTTATGGTGTTTGTATGCATTGATACATGGGCTTAAAGACACCTGTATTACATCCCTAAACACATCCTCCATCTAAATAAACTTAAATCATGTTTTTGTCAGAATATATTTTGGAGGTTAAAATGTAATGGTTAGTTATGGCCGTGCCCTCATCTGTTGGAGTTACGCTAATTGATAGTAAGTTGAACAGAAGCAGGTACTGAAAAAAAATTAATCTCAACCAATATGGGCGGATTTATCTTTTCTGAAAGATATTACCATGATTTAAACAATTTGCATTGATTATAGGTTACTTTTTTGCGTTGTCTTGCAGATTTTGTTTTGCATAACCTTTCCGCAATTAAATGAGATAGCATGGTTTTTGCATCACTAGTGCTGGACTATGAGTAAGTAATATATTTAAACTTTGCTCTACACCCCCAATAACCTTGTTTTTAACTCCTTAGTTTTTTATAGCTGTGACTGATGTGAGGGGATGTCAGAGGGATTTACATCTGTAGGCCATGGATAACAGAGAGGTAATACCGTTCTCAGAAACTTCCATAGACTGGAAAGTAACAGACATGGCTCAACGCCGACCTTCGGCAGCTATGCTAGTTTACACCTGATGAGGTTCAAGAACTGCTCTTTTGCTGTTACAAAGGGAAGTATACACGGGGAGCACAGTGCAGGCTGGGTTACTTTTCCTCGGAAATCTTTGGGAGTTTCTCCAGATGTGTATTTTAGCTACTGTTGTGCCGAGGAGCAGATGCTTTCAGGAACAGCAATAGAAAACATTATAATTTTATTGCAAAGAAAAAGTGACATCTATAATAATAATAAGAATGAAATTTTTGAAATGTAGTATATACCTTGTGTTGGCAGTGACGACTGTTTGCTTTCATGCTCGTATTTGCAGTAATAGTTCTTGTCTTTGTTCTCTGCTGGTACAGTTAACCAGCTGCCAATTGAGTACTCCTCCTCTTTTGTAGACTTCCAGGTGTCTCCTTTTACTACGTTGTCTGTTACCTCTTTTTCTCCATCGGTCCAAGTCACTCGAATAATCTCTGGGTAGAATCTCTCAATAAGGCAGACATATGTTATCAGATTTTTGTGTTTCTTATGCAGAATTTCAGAGTTTACCGGTGGAGAACTTACTTTGTCTGGATTGGTTATTGGAGAAAAAAATACACAAAATAGGGAGTTAGAAGATCAATAGTGTACAGCAAATAAATACACAGCCACAAAATACAAATTCTGAAGAGCAACAAACTAGAAGTCTTATTAACAGATGTTTTAGCTCTCTAATTTGTTATTAAATATTTAGGATGGGAATAGAAATGTGTCATGCATGAAAGGAGTTTTAGGTAATAAGATGGATGAATTACAGCTGTTCCCATCCTTGAAGTAAAAAGTTTTTGACTGAACTGGATGAGCCTGGCATTCAAACACACTTTATATTAAATATTATTTCAATGGACCGAAATAGCAAATTTTCATTTTCAGTCAAAACCAGTTACAATACTATTTAGAAAATATGACTTTTAACCTTATGTTTAAATGTGTTATTTTGTAGAGAACTAAAATGAATAGAGGCTTTTAGGAGTTTGGTACAGAAAATCAAGCTCAAAATCAGAAGACAAGACTCAGTTCAAATATTCTAAACTCATTCTTGTTTAGACAATATAGCGTCTTCCAGAGTCCAGAGAATGTTTGATCTAAGCTTTTATACTTTGCCATGTGCATGAAGTGACATTATTTAAGTCTTAAATTGTTTAGTGGACACTAACATCTAGACAGCTTCATTCACGCTTCTTGTCAAGCAGCACATCCGATAGAAGAAGACTGCAGCAGACTAGATCTACTCTTTAATACTCTATTATTAGAGTAGATTAAAAAGTATCTCACAAAAGATTTCTGGAGTATTTTATTAGAAAAATAAATTTATGTCTGGTTATTAAACACCTTAGAAACCTACTAAAAATGTTTGAAAAATTATTTTTGAGAAATGTTGAGAAACTGAAATGTTGTTGAAGATATTCATAACCTCCCTTGAAACTGAATTAGAAAACTTTAGGTGAGTACATGAAAGCCTATATCCCACAGCCTTCCCAGCAATACTGCTATCAGAAAGTGTATTTGTCTGCACAAGTCTTTGACAGTTATTAAATAATAGTGATAGTTCCTAAAAGAGCTTTGTTCATTTATTTGATGAAAGGAATTTAATATTGCTTTATAATGTTTATACAAAAACAACTGCCTGAAAATTATGTCTACAGAATGTTAAAGGTAGACAACCTACCTTCCAAATCTTTGCAGTTTTATGTCCCCAGTATGTCTTCACTACTAATTAATGAATATCTGCTATATCTTATTAATTTTTTAAAAGCTGGTAGTAATTTTGTGTTTGTTTTTTTTTAAAAAAGGCAACAAAAAATTATTGTTGTCATTTTTTGAAGACATTCTGTGTATTTAGCAGGTGAAGATCTTGATAAAGGTAGGAAAATGGAATCACAGAATGCCCTGGACCCCAAAGGATGGCAATGCTGTTCCTTTAATACTAGATTTGTTTAAATGTTTTGAATTAACACATCCGAAAAGGAAAACCAAAAACTAAACTAAAGCAGAAGAACATGCTATATCTAGGTAGCATTTCTATATCCAAATAGCATATCTATCCATACCAGGGTTGTTGTAGGTGATGTGCTTTGTGAAACATGTTCAGTGTGAACAAACGTGAATATATTTTAAGTGAAAAGTGAGCCGTTTCCACAAGCTAAGTGTGTGTAATCTCCATTTCTTTTCTCTCTCTGGAATAAACCTTATGGTATTATGAGGAAGAGTCCAAATCATCCAGATTTTGTCCATACAGAGAAGACTTTTTGATATTATAGAAGTAGATAGTATCTTTAAAAGTCTATTTTAGTTAAACATGAACTTCTGCAGTGCGTGTATAGTTAGGGCTCAAGGAAAATAATTTTTGTCTATGCTTAACTGCAAGAGAAGACTAGGTACAGTTTTCAAAGTTGACTTTTGTTGTATAGAATGTACTGCTTAAGGTGATTTTTTTTTTAAGACAGCAAAGAGATTTTAGGCAATCATCTCCTTACACCACTCTTTCTCTTTAGATTCCTGTGCACATCTCCACCACTGAATCGGAGCAGCGAGATGCACAGGGTTAAAAGTGTGGTCTGGCCGAGTTGTGCAGGTTTCATGCATTGTGAAGAAACACATTAATATAAGCATGTATTTTTGTAAAAAAAAGCTTCCACCTTTCTTCAAAGTGATCTGGCTATTCTAGAGCAATCTTTTATATTGCATCGCCCCTAAAGCAACTTTGTGATTCCTCAAAGTATTTTATACTCCGTGTTTAACAACAAAGATGACCAAAACATAAGGCTGTCTACCTTCAAAAAGATAACCCTTAAGTTAGGAATTTCCTTTGTTTCGGAGATTTGTCATTGCAATGAAGATGTGGACTGAGTTCTGCTGTACCAAAAATAAAATTGCTACTAAATTTATTGTTCTCTAACATTAATTTAGGGGTTAATTTTATCCTCTTTATGCATCAGTCTGCCCAGGGATGCAAGATTAAACTAATTTCTAAAAAGATTTATTAGTTCCAGATTCGTATATATTCAGAAGACCATGATGACACTGCACTCTGCAAAGCCTCATGACTCTTTTAGATGTTTCTTTTAGATTTGCAAAGCTTGGTAAATTACCCTGACTAATTTCCATAGGCTAAAATTTAATTGTCTAGTTTGATGCTATTCTCTTGGATTATCAAATCTAAATAGAGAGGCAGGGAGAGACGTTTCCAGCTGCTATTTCATCCCACCCATTTTAGACACTTCTATTAAGATGGAATAATTTCCACTTCCGGAATTGACAATGTCTTTCCATTTACTACTATAAACAGACCCTAGGTGCTTGGCTTAAATGAAACACCTAAATTGTATCAGAATACTGAGGAAACATATTGCCTGAATAACTGTGACTGCGTGCATGCGTGGGAGAGTCTCATATGCACACATAGATAAATGGATGACGGTGGAGAACTGAACAAAGTAAGTTTTACGTATATGAGTGTGTATATTTGTTTGTGTGTGAATATATATCTCTCTCTCCAGATACCAGATGGAGAAAAGAATGAAAACTCGCAGAATTTGCTGTAGATTTTGATGTATTTTCAGGCTGATCTGTAAAGTTGTTGGAGTCAACAAGATGGTTTATGCTGGCTTTTCTCAGCAAATGATCTGTCCTTTCTGAAGAATTTTAAAGTCATGAGCTTCCACTCCACTGTCTGTTTTGTTTTAGCTACACTTTCACAAATTTTGCTGTTTACTTTGTTAAACAGTTTTCTAAGTCAGGTTTTAAGAGGCAGATAGGTCTTACTTTTCAAAATAATATATAAGCTTGTACAGATATTTCTTAAGCGAAAATATTTTTTCTTTTTTTTGTAATAATGCAGTGAGCCTGCAAACCATTGTGCAAATACAGTTCTGGAGTGAGGCTTGTAATCAATGAGCTATTTACAAATTTCAGTTCAAAATATAAGTTTTTATGATTTAACTGTCGAAAGTTTTCTCAATTAAATTCCTCTACTGTTTCTTTATAAGTATCTATAAATAAAATTTATAAATAAGGTCAAAGTGTTCTTAGCTGATATTTTAATTCTCGTTAGTTTAATGATCCCATAAAATGGAGCAATTTTGTCTGATACTCAAAGCTCCTCAGTTGCCAGTCAAGCCCGGGACATAGCCTAGTCCTGACCTACTGTGAGTGTCCCCAGATGCCTTAAAGAGCTGTCAACCTTCACTCCCAAGCTTTCCCATTACAAAACTTTAAAAAAAAAAAAGTCTTTGGAAACACTTACTGGAGACGATGAGTTTTGTGCCAGAACCAAATATCTTTTCAAGCCCCCACTGGTACATTCCCTTACAGAAACTCCTTGGCACATTTCGGCCAGACAAGGACCAGATCTAACAACCATCATGTGAACAATAAGAATCTATTCGTTTGGCTACATGAATGTAGAAAATTTTAAATCAGTCTCAGCTAACAATGCTATTTCCAAAGAGCCTTTAGTGATTAGTACTTTAAATTCAGTTTCAAGCTAATCTTTGCAATCATTTTATTTAAAAAAATATGAAAACAAACTAAAATTGTTGTTGTCTGGGGCCTTAATTGAGCTACCATATATCATCTAGATTTTTTTTCTAGAAAAATTATTATTTTCCCAGGACGGTGAGTTTTTTTGACCACACTATTTAAAAGCAAAACCATGGTAGACCACTCTTTAACTGAATTAATGAATGGCAGTTCTGAACAGCCACGACTCCTCTCCAGCCTAGCGGAAGGACATTTACTCATTTTGGGCCTGATCCTCTGCATGTTGAGGTTACTGTAAGCTGCCTAAATGGATGTGGGATCGGGACTGTTCACCCTCAAATCCTGCTGCACTTGCCTACATGATGATGTTGGAGGTAGTCAGTACCAAAAGGCAGCATCACACGTGCATCTGTGCATACTGTATGAAAAGCATCAACGTCCCTCATTCCTGTGCATCTCCTTCCCCAGGGCCTTAGGGCTTCTCCCCAGAGAAAACCATGTGCACCTCACATGAAATCCTGCCGACACTGAAACCAGTGGCAACATTTCCAAAGGTCCAGGATTTCACCCATATTTTAATCTTCTGATCGTTTGTTGTCTGCCTGCAACTAACCAGAGCTGTGGTGCATCCAAGAGAGCTCAGTTCCTCTTGGTTGGAATGAATCATCTTTGTTAGGACAAATCCACTGGGAAGGACCTTCCCCTTGACCAAACAGAGGGATGCAGAGTTTCAGCCATGGTTTAGGGGATCTGTTGGCACAATGTTTTCCTGTATAGCACCTCTATTCCCCCTGCCTTGAGGCCAAGGGATGATCTATAGCCGCATTTCCGAGTTGCCTCAGCCCTGCTCCTCTGGGGAGTAAGCCTTGCACAAGGGAATGCCCTGATGTAGCCCTGAGTATCCAAAAGAAGTTACAGTTCAACTGTTTATGGTGTATGTGAAGTTCTATAGTTTACCCCGACTTCTCTTACACAAGTGTTTGGGTGCTAAAGAACTGAATTTTGCTACTGCAAATTCCACATCACTTTTCTATATTATACTTTTAAATCGTTATATTAATCTGTAGTATACTTATCAAATAGCATATCGCATTCTCTCTCCTCAATTTTGGATTATCAGAATAAGACTTATTTTCTTAGATGTTAAAAAACTTACCAGAAACAATAAGCTTTGTGCCAGTTCCGAAGACTTTGTTAGTTCACTGTATACAAATGCTTTGCAAAAACCCCTCCTAGTCTGAATGTTTGTAAAACCTCATTTTGTGTCCTAGCCTAGCCTGATTTTCTTAATAGAAATGCACCTATTTCTTCTGAGACTCTGATTTCTGTAATTAAAAATTCCCTTTCAAAATGGTCTGTGGATGAACCTGTGTTTGCTCATACAGCAGATTTCACTTACATTAGTCTTTCAGATTTAAATAAATAAGCTTGCACATGCACAAAACCTAAAGATTTGGAATACTGACAAAATGGAGGATGGATCCCTAATTTAAAAATGGGCATTCAAAATCACAGAAATATTTAAGCAGATCCCATGCACCTGAGATTTGTAATTTCCTAGACTGACACTCCTTCAGCGTTCCCTGAGGTTTCTGTGGAAAACATGAGGAGCAGTAATGGTTATCACCTTGACAACAGGGGAAATAATGCCTTTATATGTGGGCATATACATCTGTGTATGAATATGTATCCTACAACAAGAACCTAGCGCTGCATGCTATCACTGATTCAAGCTGATCTTTTTGGGCCATGGCTTTAGGTTCATAGCGTCATAGACTATCCCGAGTTGGAAGGGACCCATAAGGATCATCGAGTCCTCGCAGGACTACCTAGAACTAAACCATATGACTAAGAGCGTTGTCCGGACACTCCTTGAACTCTGATAGACTTAGTGCCGTGACCACTTCCGACAACAGAGACCGTTATGGAATGGGGGAATGTTCACACTGAAACCTGTTTGTGAACGTTGCCTTAAGAGCATCAGATACTGAATTCATCTTCTTGCCCATGAAATCCTTGATATTTTTGTTAAAGCCATTAGCAAATGTACCTATTAATATTAATCATGATAAGAGGCTTTCACTCCACAGATTTATTTTGAGTGGCCACGTCTTCCCTTATTTATGTCTTACAGCTCCATCCTTCTGCCTAACACTTCTTTACATTTTCAAGTCTACTGGGTTTTGGTTCAGGGCTTCATGATTTCCCCTGTTGAAAAAAATAATAGTGCAAAGTAATGTATAGAGTAACCTTCAACATTTTGATTTAAAAGGGCAGAAAATCAGTTTAATCCAATTTCAGGCAATGTATAAATATAATGTAAGTATAATCCAGCTTTATGCAACACATATTTTGTAACACATAATTGCAAAAAATTATTGGAGCTTTTTGAACTATTGAACTTCAATGCATTTGATGAAAACAAGGTAGATACTTTGGTAATATTTAGGACATAACATTTTAAGAAATCAAATATTGCTGCCAAAATTTCTGCTGTGAAATTATTTCCTACAAATGGTACTGAATTGTTCTTTTTACCACTTCAAAGTAAGTTAGCAATGTGATTGTACGTTTCCAGGGAGACCCAGCTGCAGCTGTAGAAGAAGAGATGGCAGAGGGAAACCAGCCCCACGCTGGCTGAGCAAGCCACTTTGCTTCTGAGCTGAAGGGAAAAAATTGGATTTGGAGAGGCTGGTTCAGTCTTCGGTTCAGTCTCGGCTTCCCTGTTGCGACATTATGAGTGCCTAAATTCCCTGGAAAGAGACTTACGGAAGAATCCTGTACTGCCTGCTTACATTGGATTAATATTCCCACTCTGCTCTAAGCTTGTAAAAACTCATCTATTCCACCAAAACCACCAAACCAGCCTCTCAAATCCCAGCCCTTCTGTTACCTGCATTATTGCAAGTCTCGAGCAAATTTCTATTGGTCAGAACTAGTTAAAAGAGACCAACAAGAACAAAATCAAGTTCATTACAGATTGGTGGGAGTTTGGTTCGTTATATATTTGACTCTTTCAGTATAGATCTGGGAAGCGATTCTGCTCAAGCTCAAACCCTAACGATTCAATTGAATGAGGTCACTTATGTCAAGTCCTATTTTTTCTCTATTTCTTTCCATTACAAGTAACTTACTGAGCTAATGTTGGATAGTGGCCTCTGAAAAGATGTGGTGCACATCTTTCATAATTTCAAAGCTGTGATGAAATACCTGATCTTAAGTGTGAGGTAACTGTAGCCCTTTTACTCTATAAATCAGTCAGAAGCCTTGTCCACATAAAGACAAAATCCTACAGAATTAGAGTGATGCTTGAAAATAATATATTTTAAACTGTAGCTACTAAAAGCATATCAACTACCTGATTAAGAATGTAAGGCTTTTCACTAAAACAACACACTCATCCTGACATGGATTTTTCTGTTAAATGATAGTTATGATTTACTTAGTCTTTCTGACATAAATCATTGAGAAGAATCTTTGCTTGATATGCTAACACAAGTTTATGTATTTAACCAGGCTTAAAACATTTGGTAGCAATAGTTCCTCTGCCTTGTGTTTGTGTAGTTTTATACTCTAGAATTATGGAATTTAAAGCACATTTAATAGGATTAATTTAATAAGATTTTTGTCCTCCACTTTCCGTCAAATTAAATGTCTCTGCAGGAAAGGCAAAACAATGGATCACTTCTTCATATACATCTTATTACGCAATAAGAAGAGCATTTGTAGGTACTAGTGTACTTATACTGCCAAAGTGCTCTGCACGTGACAAAAATAATTACAAATGAGGGATTTCACTTTTACTAGCCTAATTAAAAAAGGATTTTGGCAATGGTCATTGCATATTGCTCTTTGTATTGGGAAGAGGTTTTCTTTTTCTACACTTAATTCACAGCTTATGCCTGGACTCTACTACAGGCCATATTCCACCACATTTTCAAGGAGGAGTGTGATCAAAAGTGACTCAAAATAGCTCCTTTTCAGAAATGTTTGTGATCTTAAACAACTGCATTACAAATACTGCACGGCTCACTGTAGGAATGACAAGCTGGGGAGGGGAATTCCGCACAGGGATGGTGCCGACTGCGGCTATAGGCAGGCTGGATGCCCTATGGGACGCTGTAACACTCACCTGTATGACCACCCCAAGCTCCTATAGCTTATTGTATGGAAAATAGCAAGTAACTTACCTGACACAATGAGCTTTGTACCGGCGCCAAACAACTTGTTGTAATAACCAGTCACAGTGAACAAAGTCTTTGCAATAACAGTGCAGCTCTACTGTCTTTATATGGGTAATAACATTCTTTAAAGAAAATCAAATTTGCTGTATAATCAATTTTTAGGCCCTAGAAAAGCAAAAATGGAGCAGTCGCCTAAACTAAAAAAAAAGAGAGATGGAGTTTTTTGAGAGTATATATGTTGTTAAACGGGCAGGATTAATTTCAACTAAGTTCAGTCATCTGAAAGTTTAGATGGACGGTGCAGACTGAGAACCTTGGCTCCCTCTCTGCTCTCTGGAGAGAGGCAGTACCAGCAGAAGATCTATTTGATTGGACATTGGCCAAGTAATTTGCTCCTTATGCAGCCCATAAAATCAGACCCATAACTGGTGAACATTCTGCTGAGATCTGAGCAGCACAAGACCCCCAACCAATATTTTTGTTTTTAGTAACATGAAGATAAAGCCTGAATGGAACTGAACCTCCCACTAACCAGATACACCATTTTCAAATAGTCAAAATTAAGCTAACTGTTTTTATCTCAGATGCTTAGTCGTGCCAAATCACAAGCAAGTATCAAAGCACCTGAAGTTTACTTGAAGCAAAATAATTTTGATTAAGTAGGTCAAACCGTTTTGAGCTTAGCATTCTTCCTTAATAATGGTAATAACTGATAATAAGCCGTTTCTGCAAAAGCTAAAAAGAGGGAGTATCCTTTCTTCTATGTGTATCTTCAGACAGTTCTGGGCATATCTCAGGTAAGTAAGTCCTTTCATTTGGTGTAGTCAGACTTTGTCTCAGAGGAAAATGTTTGGCTTTTCAAAGAATCTAACTCAAAAATTTGACACTTTTCTTTCCGAATTAATTAGAAATATCACAAGGTTGAATATGCATGTTTAAAGACAAAAATATCTTTCAGTTCTCTGAATGCTATCTTTGCCATATTTAAATATATCTCTAATAACAAATTAATAATGGGGTTAGTTATACATCTGTGCTGCAATAGTTGTGTTTCCCCCATTTCATACAGAAATACAAAACAATTACATTGTGTTCTGCGTAAAGAAATGCTGTTTAAGAGGAAAATCATACAAAGCATTCAGTAGGGTTAAAACTAGCGGGAGCTAAAATAGCAGGGCACTTCATGCAGCCAGTATCTAACTGTGTTGAAAAGCATTTCAGAAACAGTTAAGTTTTATCTTTGGTACTTACTTGAAACAATAAGCTTAGTTCCAGTTCCAAATATTTTGACATCGGCATCCCACAATCTGATAAAGCTTAGCAATATCTCCTGCACTGCACCTTTACCCACAGGCTACAGAAAACGCCTCTCTGATTTAGAGCTTGGTGATATATCTAGCCCAGTGCAATAAGTGAATTTTCAACATTGACTAGAGTGCTATTTTTAGAAACACTTTGATTTTTGTAGTGAGTAAAAAGTTCAGGTTTTTAAACACAGCATTTTCTGAGAAGGAAGCAGTGCGGTGCTTGTTTTGTACCTATGTTCTAATCCCTTAGCTCTGGGATTTCTCTAACAAAGATCTGTTGCCTCTGGTCTGGTAGGTTTTCTCTGAGGTAACTTCTCTTTGCTGTTTTAAGAAGAAATGCAATTACATTATGATTCCAAAAGAAAATTAAGAAAGTTTAGTAGTTATTTGTGGATTCAAATACACAGGTAAACAATTTATTTCCTAAGTGTCCCATTTTGGGAATTACTTATTGTGTGAAAGTACCTGAAATAAAGTTTCATCAAACATATTTTGAAGCCCGTATTTTAACTGCAAAGTCCATGTTCTGAACTGGCTTATATGCATAACTAAGCTCCTGCCTTTGGTAAGTGGTTACACTGTCACCTTTTTGGCAGAAGCAGCTGCCTCTGCACAGGCACAGTTTAATTGCAAATTGCAGCAGAGAACATGTTTGGTCAGAGGCATGGAGAGCATTTTAAATTTCTCTGAAACTCCTCTGCTTCTCATGAACTGACTTTTAGACACCTTGGTAATATGTATTTTCTGAGCAACACACTCTAGGCACTGCCATATACTAGAAAAAGCATTCATCCTCTTGATTGCATAGCTTCACCACAATGAAGAATAATACAAATGCAAAAGTAAACCAGTTACTTTCAGCAGG